CACTCGCTCCCACCTCAAGCTAAGCCGAGAGGTGGGAGCGAGTGCCAGTCTATGGGCTATAGGCGGCGGGCAGGCGGCGCACTGCTTTGCAACTCCTGTACGAGCCTCGCCATTGGAACGTTGCAAAAACGTTCCAGCGTTGGGGCGCAACAATGAGGTCACGAAGAGCGCCGGTAGGTGTTTCCTGATTTCCGAATGTCAGAATTTCTACAGTCTTTCTGTGATTTCGCGTGACACAGCTCGGTTACGAGCACATTACTCGGTTACAGTTTTTATAACAAGTGAACACTGTTCACGTTCCAAATGTCTGCCCTCTGTGTCCCCCACTAAAATTGCGGACTGTTCGCTGGCAGCTATGGATTCGTGCGCGGCCTATGCATTCGGCGCACGGATCCATAGCTGCCAGCGCTGCATACTGTCGTAGGACGTTCCCGCGGTCGCGTGCGCCTTGCCACGGAACTGCGCGCAAGATCGCGCAGCACTTCGGATAAACACCTCCTTTCGGCAACGCTTCTCTAGTATCCCGTCTCATCTGGATACAACACTGTTCATCGCGAAAAGACTAAGCACGTGACCCAATCTCACCCACCTGATTGGTCGGGTTCTTGCGTCCTGGTTACGATGTCGGATGAAATTAGAACATGCGTCCTGTGCATCCGATATCGCAACGGTCATAAAATTGTGTCGTACCGCATAGTTTACACGGTGCGTTTTGGACGTATGCGTCTGGCGTACGTCTAGGACGTACGTCCAAAACGCATCGTGTAAATAGGCTTGGGGGCCGCAGGTAGTATAACCCAGGACCCCGCCCCCACCGATGAATGACAGACTATATTATACGTAACTGGTCAGCATACGAAGCTCGTTGCCATGATTGGCAATGCTTCGCCCAATGAATAAATTTTGCAGATATGGTCTGCTTACGTGTACACTCAGCGCCTGAAAATGTGAGATCCATGTTAATTCATTTAATTAGGTTTTCATTTTACTTACAGTTGACATGATTGGCAATGCTTAGCCCACGCGCACGCACATAAATATTTTTTGCAGGTGTGGTGCGCTTACGTGTACTCTCAGCGCCTGTAAATGGGAGATCCAGTTCATTAGTTATTAAATTAATTAATTAATTAAATTAAATTAAAGTAATTATAGGTTTACATTTTACTTATAGCTGACATGAGAGAGGGAGGAGGTGAGGATGGCAGCCGTGGGCAGTGAAGACTCGGCCACTGAGCAGCGGGAAGGTGAGGTGATTCAACGCTTACTTCTAACATGTGACAGCTCGCAGCCATGTATCAATCACGGCTTGTGCTCCCATCCCTCACCTCTGCCACCCCTCCCCACCCCTCCCCTCCCTCATCTCTGCGGCTCTGCCGCCCCCTGCCCCCTCTTATCCCTCACCTCTGCCACCCTCAAGAACCCCTCCCCTCCCCCATCTCTGCGGCTCTGCCGCCCCCTGCCCCCCTCACCCCTCACCTCTGCCACCCTCAAGAACCCCTCCCCTCCCCCATCTCTGCGGCTCTGCCGCCCCCTGCCCCCCTCACCCCTCACCTCTGCCACCCTCAAGAACCCCTCCCCTCCCCCATCTCTGCG